CAGCTACCTGTACCGTTGTATCAATAAGGGTGGTGTTTTATAGTTGTTCTGTTTAAATTTTTCTGTTCAACACTGTACACAGTACATCGTACAGCTACGGTCATTGATGCAGCATGTACTGTATTGGTTACAGCTTTATACTTACAGCTAACATGTTTAAATTGTCCTGTTCAACACTCTAGATCGGACAGCTACGGTCATGTGATATATTACATTGGGTACAGCTTTATACTAGCTTATTATAGTTATCATGTTTAAATTGTCAGTCTGTTTAACACTGTATATATCGGAAAGCCACGGTCATTGGATGTACTGATACTGACTGTATTAGGTACAGCTTTATACTTATAGTTATTCTGTTGAACACTATACACACCTGACAGCTACGGTTATTGTACTTTTATATAGATTTGCTTTGATAGTGTGTAGTTCTATAATAATCTATTCAGATTGCTTTTCAAGACTGTTGATATTGGTTAGGGACCGGTCATTATTTATGGAAGGGGGGAGGGGAATTTTTTCTTTTCTAAATTTTTAAAATTGAAAGCCCCCCCCTAAATGACAGAAATTTAATGATGCCCCCCCCCCCTTGCATATTAGAATATTTTTCTTTGACCCCACCCCCCACCCCCATTTTTATTTTTACTCGTCAAATGGGGATACTCAGGCGTTATAGTATTAATTATTAAATAAGAATATGGAACTGGCAAGGTATTAACGTCGACCAAAAATATATATTTATTAGCAGAAAATTATAATTAAAAGAGGAGTATTTTTATATACCGGGTGGCGCAAAAAAAAAGTTAACCTGTTTGATTTATTTTAACTTAAAAACTAAAAGAGCTATTACACCTAAACTACGTGCATTGCATTCAGTATTGTCTAACTTAAATTTTGATATACGCCCTGTACAATTTCGTACAATATTCACCGAGAGAGCTGCGTTTAAACTTGAATAAACATTTTGGGAAGTGTCGAGAATTAGCTAAAAACGGCCTGTTAAACTAATTTGATAACCCTTACCATTTTATCGTAAATATTCGTTTCAATGAAGTGAAGTTTAAATTAAAAATGTTTATAGGATGGAGGTGCTCTTTTATTTTTGTTTAAGGTCTTTGGGAATGCATGCATGAAAATTAATTTATGAAGCGATTTTGATTAAAAGATTTATTCTAAATATCCAATGACCCTGGGGAATCAAATTCTAGTGTTCCAAGAAAGAAACGACAAGTGTTTTTTTTTATAAATACGCCTCGTTTAACGATTGACCAAACAGTTTTGATATGTTTAGAATATGTAAGGGTAAATAATGCTCGTGAGGTTATACCGGCGGCGTTGGGCAGGTCTCTGACAACGAACGTGTACTTTCTGACTATAGTGCGTCTAAGCACAGGTTATTGCTGTATTAAATATTTGATAGGCCGTTTTGGGCTAATTCTCGACACTTTCAAAAATGTTTACTCAAGTTTAAACGCAACTCTCTCGGTCAATATTGCACGAAAATGCAGAGGGCGTATATCAAAATTTAAGTTAGACAATACTGAATACAATGCACGTAGTTTACATGTAATAGCTCTTTTAGCTTTTAAGTTAAAACAAATCAAACAGGTTAACTTTTTTTTGCGCCGCCCGGTATAACACTAAAATCAGGTTTCCATTTGGTCTGGGCGATTGTAACCATGTTTAAGGCTGCAACTAGACTTGATGGTACGAAGTATTGCCATAGCAGCTGCGCGGCAACAATGAGAGCAACAATCAGTAAAATTAGCAGCAAAAGGAGATAGCAATGACAATTCTGCCAAGGCATACCTGCGAAATACAGTGTATAGTGGTCTATACATCCTATTTTATGTGAGATTAAAAATTATATAAAATAAAATGACATATACTAGCTACCAGATAAAATCTTTTAGAATGAACATGGGTGGGTGGGTCGGGAAAAGGTATCGAAGCTTAAGCGCAAAATTTGCTGCAGCTAGGCAAAGCATACAATGGCAGAATGAATACCCAGACCGAAGCACTGATCACAAGGCATGAAACAACCCCCTTTGATCGATACGACGTCACAAATTCCCCTCAGCGGATGTGGCCTGCATAATACAAACGCCGTTAACCTTGCTTAATTTAAATGTATTTAACCACATCAAGAGCTGATGTAATAATACATTGTCAATTTAACTAGTCTGCAATCCGTAAAGACTGATTTGCATACAGCACACACAAGACAAGATGAATCCAGACTATTTCACATCAGTGACCATGATTTAGTTGCAACATTTACAACCAAATGGATACCAGGTTATTAAGCAAATTCCTTCAAGTTTAATTGCAACCCCCCCAATCATTTTCTTGAAAAAATTTAATAGCCCCCTCTTCTAGTCATTTATTTCTACATATGGCCCCCCCTTATTTT